AACCAACAGGAGGAGAGCTAGTAACGTTAGCAGCACCGCTAACGGCTAACCAACAGGAGGAGAGCTAGTAACGTTAGCAGCACCGCTAACGGCTAACCAACGGAGGTTCACTTCAGTTACATTATGATGCCTTCAGGCTCTGCTCAGTGAACATGAGTACTGGCTGAAGGTACATTATAACGTTATCATGATGTGTTCACATGTCATCTGTAAAATGTAGTTTTAGTGATAAACTTGAATAAATACAGTAGTTTCAAGAAGATGTTTTCACATGAATATAAAATAGATATTAGAGATGAATTATGAGCTGTTTAACTTCTAACACAAGCTCTAAACACATTATTATACTTCATTAATAATAATTATGAAGAGATTTGTTTTATCAATAATACATTCTTTTATTTCCTTATTTGAATTGTGTGTTTTTATGCTCAAACATTATAGATGATTATAACAAAGTGACTCGCTCTGAACGGTGAGTTTTATGATCCGTTACACCTCTATTTAAATAGTTTTATAGCACACAGTCGTCAACTTTAATCAAATAAAACGTAACTTACCAACACTGGTGGCTAGTGAAACATGCTGAGTGGCTAGTCACTTTGAAAACTACAGAGGCTGGTGAGAATAAAAAAGTAATGTTACGTCCTGATTGTGTGGAGATTTTCCCACCTGTCAGCCAGCTTCCCAGAGAACACCGAGGGGTTGGGTAACAGGGCCAAAGGGAGGACCTGGACGTAGACCAGGACGTCGGCGGGGTTCTGCAGGATCACCTCCTCTTCCTGCAGAGACACAGACAGACAGACAGACGTCAATAAAGACATTTCCTGCATTGTGTTGCAGCAGCAGAGGTCTGGTGGGTTTCTACTCACGGAGGAGCCGTTTGTGTTGGTCAGAGGAAACAGGATTCTCTGGGAGGAGTTGACCAGCGAGGGCCAGCTCAGGTGAGCCGTGATTTTAGCTTGAACATTCTTCTGGAGGTCCGTGTTGACCTCGAAGACGGCTTCGATGCTTCAGTGAGAACAGAAGAGAACATCTTGTGACAAGGGAACTAATTTACCAAGAAGAAATGTGATGTCTGGAGCCCAAAGATCTCTGGATCCAGACTCCTGATGGACGTACTTGTGGCCCGATCGCTCTTTGAGCTCCTTCCATCTCCGGAGGAGTTTCTGGTGGAGATCGACGTCGGCGTCCCAGATGTCCTCCTGTAAGGCCAGACCATGAGGTTTGGACTCGGCTGTGAAAAGGATGAGTTTTGTTTTATTTTGACTCTTGCTCTCTGAGATGTATAAGATGGTGCACTAGGGCCATTGTAGGGAAAAAACTTTAACAAATTAATTGAATAAAATCTGAATTTACGAGATTAAAGTCATACATTTGCAAAAAGGACGAGCTCTGAGTGAAGAGAAAGGTTGTTAAATAACATAAATAAATACCAACATCATGTATTTTGCACTGTGATGAAGTTGATCCAACCTCAAAAAGTGAAGCGATGTGGTTCCTTGACCAATAAATATAGATATACACTGTATATCTATATTTATTTCTGAGTTTCTCAAATGTATGACGACATAATCTCGGAGAATATCAAAGTTGTTTTCATGCAAATTAAAAAAGAAAGTTATTCAAAGTTTTCTATGAATTATAACCGCATCCCCTTCGTGATTGTTATTATTTTATATTCCTACAATGGCCGTAGATTTAAATGTCACACACACTCAAACAACTTACATTTAAGCACAAAAGGCAGCCCCACATAACAGTGATCACCACACTGCAAGCTGGCGTCAAAATAAATATTTGCCACCTGAAGAAGATGAAGGAAAGAAAAAGAAGAATAAGTTTTTCTGTTTGGTACGGACGCTAAAGGCTCGCTGGTGTTTGCTCAGCGAGGACGAGGCTCTACCTTGGATTTACGTCGAGGCTCCAGCTCGTCTTTGTTGTTGCGGAGCCGTTTGTAGTAGAACCGTATATCTTCAGTCAGAGAGCGGATCTGCTGCAGCCTCACTTTCTGAGTGAAGGAGCTCTGAATACTGAAGCTCTGGTGGACGACTTTACCCTGAGGGGGAAAAACTCACTTATAAAGACGTGTTTTTACAGGAACATCGGCTTTACAGAGGTTAGTGTTACTTACTGGAAATGAAGATGGCAGAACGATGTGCTTGGGAGAGCTGTTTAATGTTCCCACAGCAATGAGCGCTCTCACTGGGAGGGTTAATATCTGAGGAGACAGAAAGTCACCATGATGCCGAATGCTCCGTCTTTAAACACAGACCGGAGGACGACTCCACCTACCTCATAATCTGTGGTGATGTGCACGGCTCCGTCGTACGTGCCCTCCAGCGCTTTGGCCACAAGAGTCACTCTGAACGCTGCGTAGTAGCCTGGTGCCAATATGACCTTTGTAGCGACAGAAACACACGGATCACTTATCTATTGTAACGCAAAACAACCGCAGGCTAAAGATTCTCAACACCAGGAAGCTGAAAAATATCAGAAATAAAAATGTGTCAACTTAGAGTCAAACAGACCATAAAGCAGGGGATGCTTTAGGGCGGGGCTACACGCTGATTGACAGGTCTCTAATAGACCATAAAGCAGGGGATGCTTTATGGTCTTTACGGATAGACCATAAAGCAGGGGATGCTTTAGGGCGGGGCTACACGCTGATTGACAGGTCTCTAATAGACCATAAAGCAGGGGATGCTTTAGGGCGGGGCTACACAGTGATTGACAGGCGGTCTGGAAGCTGTCCGTGTTTTCGTCTGACGACTTTAACTCTTTCACTGTGTGTTGAACTGTCAAACTAAAGGGTGACTACGTCCACTTCTCATAGGCAGTCTGTGGTAATGACATCCAACACTACAACACTATAATAATAATAATAATAATAATAACTAGAAAATTCCTAAACTTTTTTGACAGTGTGGCTTCTACTGCCCAAAGAAATCGCAATATATACACACGCCAATGTTACCGGTAGTGTCATTCAGGTTCAATTGAGATAGCGCTACTCTCTTTTCTGCATTTTAGATTCATACTCTTGGATTGAATCTTGTATTTGTGGGGCTTTTATTTTGAAAGGGTGGGACTGGGTGGGTGAGAGAGGAGACAGAATCATAATGTTTGACACTAAAAGTGTCAAACAAACGTGAAAAATACATCAAAACGTGCGGCCTGATCGGGAATAGTGTGCCATCTATTTTTCGGAGAGATTCGCCCAGCGGTTTCCCCAAAAATCCCCAAAAACTGAGCAAAGTTTCTCCATTCACTTGAATGGGGTTCCGGCGTGAAGAGAGCTAAAAAAACACTTAACTTTGGGCCCATATTGACGAGCCGTACTTTAACGTAGAAACATGATTCAAAGTTTGAAACGTAGACAAAACTCTGCACTTTATTGAGCCAAAGGGACATTTTGATAGCTAGCACAGTTTTCATGAAGTCACAGATTAAGTTTCAGGAACATTTTGGGTCAGTTTCAGATTTTATAATGGGTGTGTATTGCACGGCTCGTTAAGAGCTAGAGTGATGACATCACGCTCAGAGTGGAGCGGAGCAGGAAAATATTCTGTGATTTTTCCAAACAAATTGCTCCAGCTCCCACAATGTTTACTCTTTATTCACCATTTTGGCCAAAAAGCTTGGAAATGTTGTGCTGGTCGCAGTAAAGTATCTGTGGAATCCAACGGACTTACACATTTGGCTCAAAGAGCCGCAGAGCGACATGAACTCCAACCAACTGCTCCATTAGACTCCATGTTAAATCTGACCAGTCATTTCTCAAAGAAAGCAGACGGTACCAGCTTTGCATATTGCTCTGGAGCTCACATTATTAACACCACAAACATAAAAAACACATCAGCGCGTTTGCCAGAGTCTTATCTTTCTCACGGTATCCATATTTTGGCACTCAGACTCCTGCTAATTTGTTAAAAGGAGGTTTTGTTCAAAATCACTGTTTACTGTAATGTTTCTTAATCAGTCTGCCTCTAACACCAGGTGCGTCCTCACCATGGCAACCAGTTACACTCTCTCTCTCTCTCTCTCTCCCCCCCCCCACACACACGACATGGAGATATTCAGTCAAAGGCATTGTTAGACCTCCTGTCTGTCTGTCTGTCTCTACACACATACACACATGATATTCAAGGAAAGATCATTAGACCTCCTGTCTTCCTGTCTCACTCACTCACTCAGTCTGTCTCCTCTCTGTCTGTCTCTCTCTCTGTGTCTCTCTCTATCATAGTCATTCAGGTCTTAGATATTTTTAGAGGACTTCCCCCCTCCCCCCATTTCAAATTAAAAGCCCCACAGAATGAATTCAAACTGGAATGCTTGTGATGAAGCCTCTCATTTTAGTGTCAAACATTATGATTCTGTCTCCTCTCCCCCTCTCTCACCCACCCAGTCCCACCCTTTCAAAATAAAAGCCCCACAAATATAAGAGTATGAATCTAAAATGCAGAAAAGAGAGTGGCGCTATCTGAATTGAACCTGAATGACACTACCGGTAACATTGGCGTGTGTATATATTGCGATTTCTTCGGGCAGTAGAAGCCACACTGTTAAAATTTCTTTAGGAATTTTCTAGTTATTATTATGATTAAGCCCGCAGGATTACAGTCAGTGTGGCTTTGTGGCACAAAGGCACACTGAATAATAATAACAGCAGCACAGCCTTAACAGAAGCTGAACATGAGCAGCTTCACAGAAGAAGTTCATGTCGGGTGTTGTGATAAAATAATCTCATTCAAACCTGTTGTGAAACTGTAATGAGATCGTATTTAGATAAAAAGCCTGGAGAAGTACCAGCTTCTCTGTTTGTGAGAATGCAACACTGTGTCAAAGTGAGAGGAGAAGTATGAGAAACAGGAAGTGTGTGTGTGTGTGTGTGTGTGTGTGTGTGTGTGTCGGGGATAAACATGCATCTGCAACAAACAAATTGAATTAAAGAATAAACTGCAGAGCTTCATTTATAACCGTGGGTTTGGTTTCACAATAACTATTCATTGTGTTGAACATTACTAGCATTACTAGTAATACTAGTATTATACTACTAGTTGAATTAGATTCCAGTGGTGGCTCTGCTTTCTGACTTGTGAGATCAAAACATTTCCAATAACTCCAGAGCGTTGGAAAGTCAATTATTATAAATGTTATCATTTCGAAACATTTCACAACATGTTTTTATGCAACATTCAGCTTCAGTCTGTATTTGTTGGCGCTTTGCCTTTAAGGAACTACATTTAGCGTGCGATCACAATCTGACGAGTTATAATCATCAAAGATAACTCCGATGAATCCCTTTATTACAATTGAGGACTTATTTTTAGGGGAATGACGTCTTTAAATATGACGACAGACATTCAGAGTTTCATTGTAAAACCTCAATAGAAGCTTTAATATATTAAGAAACGTGCGTCTTCTCCGGAGGAACATAGAGGCTGTAGTTTAAGAGAGACGATATGTTTTAACAACATGTTTACAGTGTGGTAGTAGTACCTTTATTTATTCTATGCTATTAGTACTCTTCGTCTCACCCTAACCAGACCCAACAGGTTGTGTTTTCTGCTGGACTTCATCAGTTGTGAAGTTTGTGATTTCTATAAATGTTCAGGACATAAAGCCGGCAGCAGACGGACACAGCAGAGGTCTTACCGTCTGCTGATGGGAGGCTGAGGTGTTCTGCAGCTCTCGTAGGCGACTCAGAGCCACTGTGGAGTTTCCTTTCTCCGTCCTCAGCAGCTCCATTGACAAACTGTCTCCTGTCACCAGCCAGGACTTGATCTCCAGCTGGAGGACACAAAGCCGTGAGATGAAGAAAGTAGTGATGAACAACGCAAGTATGTCGGCATGAAGGCTTTGTGTTGTGCCAGAGATATTTTAAGACACGAGTCAGCACTTTTAAAAGACCATGAAAAACGAAAACACAATGGGCTAGAGTGTCAAATGGATAAGACACAGGAAACAAACTGTTGATGTGTACTGTAGTGGTCTCACCTCTATAGGATTACTGTTGACCACCACAAACGTGATGCTGCTGGTGTCTGTTGCACTGCGAACCCCGAAGTCCAGGAGGTTCTCCTTCAGACTGGGAGGCAGGACCAGAGGCTGGAGACAGGAGACAAAGTATTAATACTGTGCAATAGTAGTACCCTTACTGTAACAGAGTATGTTTACAGTGTGGTAGTAG